TGGTTGGGAGTGGGTTTCCCAAATTAAGCCTTTTTGGGTTCTTGAAATTTCAGCCCCGGTGGGCCAGGGGGGGAGGGCCCGGATTATTGGGGGTCTTCTGGGGGGTTCCCGTCCCTGAAAATGGTGAGAGAGAAGAGAGAGAGAGAGAAAGAGAGAGAGAGAGCGAGGCAAGCTACGCAACCAACGCCACCCCCCCCCCCCCGCGAATCATGCTAAGAGGACGTCCTGCCTGCTCGTCCAAGAGGAGCTCAACGAGCTTGGACAAAAAGGCCGCCACCATGGCCACGCCGATGAGGATGTAGAAACAAGCGAACAGCTTCGTCACCGGCTTGTGAGCGCTCAGGTCCCCGTAGCCCACGGTCGTCAGGGTAACTGGAGGGCAAGAAAGCGATTGCGCCAGCACAACACGGGATTGACAGAGAGGGTCAGGGTTAGCGTTATCGCTGTTGTGATCATGTGCTCTGTTCGGACGCTCGACCCTGCCGGATGGGTGGGAAGCGATCTTGATTATATTTGGCGTCGAATCACCGTGGTTCCTCCGTGATACGAGCGCCCCTGCAGAGACGATGTTGGGAATAAAAAAGAAGTGCGGGGATACATACAGGTTTGGTAACTCTGAGGCTGACCAGCGATTACAACTATGTCAGCGACACATGAAAAAGAACAAACGAAAAATAAAATCGGGAACATCGTAGGGTGGGGAGAGCGGGGGCGCCTACGGCCTGGCTGGCGAATGCTAATGTCCGCCCGTGGTGACGAGTGGACGAAGGCCACTTCGAGGGCCGAACTACTTGGGAACGCAAAAAACAAGACATGCAAAAACATAGCAGAACACGATAAAAAACCCTCCGACGCACTCTGTACGAAAACCGCGAAATCTAAATATTACAAAGGACGAAAAAAAAAAAACGAAACGCCTGCCCTACCGACGCAGAAGTACAGCGCGTCCAAGAAGCTCATCCCGGCGAGGGTCGTGTACATCAGGACCCCAAGGCACAAGTAGCCGAACACGGTGGCAAGCGACAGGGCCAGCAGGCCCTTCCCGGTGAGGGGCGCTCGAGGAGCCTCAGGAATCTCCGCCTGGGCGGCCACCGCCTCCAGTCTCGCCTCCTCCGCCGCTTCCAGCTCCGAGGCCGTGCGGGGTATCGACGGCGGCAAGGCCGCGTCCGCGGGTAAGATGGGGGACGACGGGCTGCCGCCGTTGTCGTAGCCAGCCATGAAGGGCTGGTTCAGGCTGGTGCTGGTGGTGTTGGCCAGGAGGCTGGACCGCTCCGAGCTGAGGGTTTGTTGGCACGCGAGCGGTGAAAGGCGGCCGCGACGGCGCGGGGTGTTGGTTTTACCGGCGATTTCCCAGTTTGACCAGTGGCCACGCGTTTTCCCTTGTCGACACGGAACACCGCTAGTTGCGCCTACAAACAACGAGACAAATCTGCTATCGATTCTGGCATACTTAATGCACAAAGGACGTTTTTTGCTACGGTGTTAAGAAAAATTACGGCGGTTTCGACGTGTTCACGCATCTTCCCCTTTTCGACGCGAAACACCAGTCGTTCCGCCTCCAAAAACACACATAACTACGGTTCGACGTTCTGGCATACTTGACAGACAGGGCATTCCTTGCTCTTTTCTCCCCTCCCTCCTGGGCTGCTTGTCGGGGGATTGGTTTATCTTGAATGGCACAGCATTGTCTAGATCCGAATTCTACTATAGTCAAAACCCTGGGATCAATCGAATCCCACACCACACTCCCGTTCCAAGAGTAAGGAACACCCTGTGGCAGACGCGGCACATGACACACCTGCCAGGCGGAGAGGAAGCCATAGCGCGGGATAAAGGAGGGTCGTTGTGGTGCTGCCGCTGCCGCACGGCGAACCCGTCCTTCGAAGGCTTGACTATCCTGCTCCCGCGGCGCCGCACGGAATCCTTTCCGGTGATTCCAGATGATATCAGCAAATATCAAACCCCGTCGTACGACGAACGTGTGTTGGGGTTGTCGGTTCACCGAAGCGGGACGGGCATTGATTGCCACAGCAATGTATCAAGAACAAGGCAGCAAGAGCAACGGCAACGGCAGCAGAAGAGCCCGAGGAAAAACACGAGGGGTGGGGGTGTGGGGGGGGAGGGCCGGCAGCAGGGTGGGGTTGGAAACAGAGAGAGAGAGAAACGTTCACAGACGATAGACACAAACAGGGTTGCAAGCAGGTAGGTGTGTGTGTCGGTCATAATTATACGTGTGCGTTTGTGTACGTCAAAGCTTGTGCGGATAAATCAACTGCAGGTACTCCGCGGAGATTTTATCTGCTTGCATACAATCGTCCAGATCTCCGTTCAGTATTGTGCGGACACCGTAGGTCGCGTAAGATACCCCCCCCGCCCCCCCTCGACCGATTCGCAAAGTTCGAAACCTTGGCAGCAACAACAGTGAAGGTACCGACGACGTTGACGTTGGAACCGTTTCATGGAGAGCTCTCTGAACACGAATCATGCGGTTATGACATCCTCTTCGGTGGTTGAGGTTGTTGTTTAAAAATCGGTCCGGGGGTGCGACATCTTGCAACATACGGCAGGTAAGCCGGCATTTCGCACATGGATCGAGCACCATCTTCCGACTTAACGGCAACAGCCATATTCATCGTATTCAGCACCTTCGTTCAACCGCCGGCACCGAACTTGAAGGGTGTTGCGCCGGGAGATCTAGCTACTCTACATTTAAGGAATAATAAAAACACACACAGAAAGACTACCCATTCGAGATATACCCACAGTCGAACGGGATGTGGTGGAGTCTTTTCAGTGAGTGGAGGGAAACCGGCTGGGTACTGGACTTATTTCGAGTCTTTTTAAGTCTATACACTGATGATTTATACTCTACATTTGCCGGTGCATCGCGGTATTGGATACGGGATGGTTACCCGATGTCCGTATGCGTCAACCGGAAACACGCGTGGCGGGGATGATTCTGTCGATTAACGACCTGCAGATGCTTCCCTGCTCAGCTCCCACTCCGCATGCAAGCGTGAAGGGTAGAGAGTCCTCACTCGTCCTCAATTTATGGAACATGAACCACATCTTGTGCATCCGCCGAGTCCCATGCGTGGTGGTCGAGCTCGTTTGTCCCCGTGGTAAAAACGAACACCAGCAACACTTGAAGCAACTACCCATAAGAGGCCCCACCAGACCAATTTTCAAAGATCGATTGCTCCACAACCAAGCCTGTGCCAACACCGGTAATGGTGGTATTGGAAAGTCTCGTCGAGGGCTTTCCGTAGACGTACCGGGCTCTTCCCGCACCCACTTGCTTGTGGAGCGTGGAGCAATCCGGCTCTTGAAAGTCGGTGTGTATATCGCGCCGCGTCTTATGGTAACAGCGCTATTCCACCTCTCAACAACATTTCATGATGTCATGGTGGTGGATAGTTTCGACTGGGCGGAACTATAGCGTTAATTCCTCGGACGCATGCCAAGCCTTTCCCCGGTAGTGTACCACAGCCCGGCGCTCTGTGCACATAACCAGCGACCCTCCGCTGAGTGCGAACTCGTGCGTCTGCTGCTGGCCGGGGCATGATACCGCAGCTGGTAGGTTGCTTCCTTCTTCCCCTCGCTGCCTCGGCAAGGCTTTTGCCTACGCATGGCCCATAGCGAGGGGGGGAGTCTTTCTAGCGAGCATGGCTAGACTCACCCTCAAGGGACCGATACCTTCTTGCTGCGGCGCACCCCCCGCGAGCGTGCGTAGTGGTAGCGTTGGGTCGGCACTGGTGCGTCAGGTACAAAACTGCAGATGCGCGGGCGTCATGGCCGTCGGTGTAGACAGCAATGTCCATCTCAGTTTTGTGCGCGGAGGCAGACGCCATCAGAAAGGTGGACGGGCGCTATGTACACGGCCCTAGGTTTGCTAGAGGGAGCTGTACTGTCTCAGTAACCTGGTTCGCCATCAAAGGGGAGGAGGGAACAGGTAGTGACGAGCTGAGTGGGCTGGTTGACCCTTCGGCGCGAGAATTTTCAGACCAAGAACCCTAAGTGCAACGCGGGAGAAAGCGAGGAACCGACTGCAAAGGACAGCAACGAGAGCGTGTACGGACGGAGCGGGTCGATTTTGGTCGTGCTAGGACTGGCCGCAGCGACACCGGAGCAGCGGCGCCGGAGCAGCGGCACCGGAGCAGCGGCATCGAGCAGCGGCGCCGGAGCACACGGACGACATCGAACCGTGACGAACGGACGAACATTTTGTGTTGTCAAATATTTTCCGTTTTTTCCTGAACATTGGTGTGTATGTGATGACGTCACTGGTTTTGTAGAGAGACGCGGCAGAGATGGCGCGGATAGCCCGGGTGCCTTTACTGTGTTCCTGCATCGTGGAAGACCTCTTCAGTGTGGAACGATTCCTAATCAGTGTCGATTATTTACACTGCTGTGTCCAACACAGATGATCAGGGGTAGATTCGGTGATTGTCAATTACAATGGTGGCTTTGGTTGGTTGTTCTTGTTCTAGGGTTGTGTATCGGAGCCGATATGTTTGATATAATCGGACGATATATATCGTATCGAATATCTATTGTCAGCCCCGATATGTTGGGCGATATATTTGAGGGGGCTCCGTGAATCAAAAAGGGGGCATATGTTACAACAGTTACACGTTTGGACCCCCTATGAGGCCTCGCTGTTGCGGCGGCTGTTGCTTTGGACCACAGAAGAGCAGACCGAACACCGAACACTAGCCGAACACCCCATGAGTACCCCACCAGCAGCGGACCAGGATGGAGGGTCCTCCACGCCGGTGGTTGCAGTAGAACCAGTTTCAGACACAGAGACAGCAGAGCGTTCGAAGAAAAACGAGCGGGCTGCGAAGGTGGAGAGGGTCAAGATGGAGCCGAAGCTGCCCAAGCCCCCGAATGCCTCACACCCGGTGTGGAAGCATTTCAGGGTGTATCGGAACCCATGCCATTCGGGCATCGCGATCTGTCAGTTGTGCGTGGCAAACGGCGACTTTCACTGTGCAGAGACCAAGTTCAAAAAAACACGAAAAACTTAGGCTGTGTTGTAGAAACATGACAAGATTCAGAGAGAGAGGGAGGACGAGGGAGGTGGGAACGTGTTTTGGAAGCAGCTTCGTGAAGACGTTCAAACGTGGTCGTGTTGTACCACCCAACCAAAGCTTCGAAAGAGAACTGACTAATCATCTGTCATTTATTGTCGATGGTTTCCAAGTTTTAGCGTTTTTCAGTAGTTTTCAGGATATCACCCACCAAAAAACGGCATCGTCGAAGTGCCCCAAATCACCCAAAAAATATGCTCTAGTGAAGCCAAATCGCGTAAAAAAACTTTATATTGAAAAAATATCGTTATATCGGCTGCGCCGATCTCCGATACATATTATATCGTTCGGCTGCGCCGATACACAACCCTATCTTTTTCACTGTATGTCCACCGACGCATTCTGGCAGCACTTCAGACAGCAGTTGCGCGCCCCGAACTTGTACCATGCCTACCATGGTGTTATTATACAGGCAGCACTCCAGACAGCTGTACGCTGTAGTCGACATTCATTTTGGTAAAGTGTAGGACAGGGGGTGTGATGCTGCTGTAGTCGAATGCAGTGTGTGGACGGGTAGTTCAGTTGTGTAGCACGTAAACGTGCTGCAGGAATGTAGGTGTACTTCTTCGGGCTTGTGTACCCTTTTCTTGCTAGTTTGCGTGTTCTTTGGATTTTCTGATGGCTCTACCATTTTTGTGACCACGGACCGCGTCTTTGCTAGATTTTGGGATTACGGTGTTTGCGAACATCTGATTTTGGTCTTGTCTTGGTCTTTTTTATCCTCCCGAGCGCCGAAGTCCGATGGATCTTTATAAATCTGGTATTTTGCTGTCGCGAATTGCCCCCCAAAGACCCGAGAAAAGCTCCGATTTTGTCTTGCTCAGTTTTGTCTTTGAAAGAACAAATTTTCATTGGCCTACGAGGTCGAGGACGGGGTGGCATGGTTCATGAGGAAATGGCACAGACAGGAGGCGGAAGCGTCCGCGAAGCGCCAGCGCGCGAGGGAAGCAGAATCAGGGAGTACGGCCATCTCGGGACCGAAGAGAAAGAGTCTCAGAGTCGGGGAAGCGGCGGTGGGGGGGAAGAAACGGCGACCGGGTGCTGCTGCTGTAGAAGCGAGTAGGGCGGCCGAGGCAGCACTCGTGGCGAACCATGTACCCGGCTGATGTTGTTGCGCCCTGTTCCCTGTTCCCCTCCCTGCTGCTGTATGCTATACTCCTGTATGTCCTTTGTATTGCCTTCGGCCTCAGTGCTGTGTTTATTTTTTTTTCATGTCCTTCCTGCCTACTTTTCCTTGTTGGGTACCTTGATCTCCCTTTTGCCGTTGCTTCTGCTTTTATATAGATGGCTGTCTGCCCATCTGCCACCTCTTTGTTCTGTTGCCCCCCATTACTCTCATGCCCTGGTGCGTAGTGCCTGATGCTGGTACGGTACCCTTTGATTTGGGTGTGGGAAGCGCTCCTTTTTCGCTTTTATTTTTGCCTTTATTCTTGTTTTGTTTTATTTTGATCGGTTTCCTAGGGCTCCTTTTCTCGACTGGTCGGTGCAGTAGCTGTTCTTTTCTTTCTATCATTTTGTTTTCTTTTTCCGAGTGGTTTGTACTCTATTCTTGTTTTGTCTTTTGTTTCCCCGCAACGTCGTATATGCCGGGTTTTGCGACCACGGGCTCCCCATTTTTGTGGACTATATAGAGCTAATCACACGTGTTGCCCCCTATGGAAACATTACCATATTTTTTTCATTATGCAGACAATACAAATCCTGGAATCATATCCCCTGGCGGTCCCTCCGCATAGAGTTTTGAGCTATTCTGCTATACCTCTCGCTGTAGTGCTGATCCCTAATCGTGCACATCCGATATGCCTTGCCCATACATAGAGACGCACACCCCAATTTCTGTCAGGTTTGGTTGGGGTTAGGTCTTCAGCAAACGGCGTTGAAAGTCCGGTGCGTGCTTCCATGGCTTGGGTTTCTATATGTTTTCGGAGGTAGACGCATGATCGTTCTGGAAGCCACTTCTGCTGACTACTGGAGTTTGGACTTGAATTTGGGCCGACTTCCGCAGGCCAACCGCGGACGCTGTAGTGGAGACCCCTAATCGTGCACATCATGGATTCGTTCTATGGTCTTTTATCTCTACGATAGGCCAAGTATCGGCCGAATCGGGGGACCGTAGTGTTTCAGCAAACCTCGGTGAAAGTTGGCTCCCAAGAGCTGAAAAGGTTGCGCGCAGCAGTAGAAAGCTGGTTCAACTCAGATGTGGTCGTGAGGCATTTCTCGCGTCCAAAGCAAAATCAAAGGGTGAAAAAACCTTTCCGGTGGAGGGTATGATCTGCTTGAGGTGCCCGTGTACTTTGATGGCACACCGAGGTCTGTGTGAGGAGCACGAGGTGGTGAAAGAACTGGGCTCAGCCTTGTCCAATCTGGGGAGGGGATGAAACAAAATTGCCCCTCTGAAACCTGCGGCGTGATTTTTTGTCCGTACTTTTTTTCAATTTCCTACAGGGGGCAACACGTGTGTAATGTGAGAGAAACAACAACAACAAACAACAAACACCCCTAGATACTCCCGACGTCCTCCCGACACACGCCGCACCATCCCGTGGAGCTGCCCAAACACACACAACTCGGCTGTCATAGGCGACACCATGGCGAACCAACTACAGCAGTACCGCGAGACAGACAGCCAGACAGACGTCACTGCACCGCAGACCCGGTGCACATTGCAACTTTCGTGTCATCTTAGATGTAAATGTGTGAACCGAAGCAACCGCTCTACGTGCATGCTCATGAGCGACACATCAAGCCGGTGTGAGGAGGGTGAGGCGGTGAGGCGGGCGGCATAGATCTCAGGAGTGCGGCACAGGTGGAGGCGGGGGTGATGGAGTTAGGGATGCTTCAAGCGGCGTGGGAGCGTGAGGAGCTGCAGCGCGTGTGTCCTGTGGACCGTGCTGCATTGATTCGTTTGACGGGGACGATCGACTCCGTGGGCGACTGACTGCGATGATGTGTATAACAACTTGTTTGCGTGCTGAAGGGGCACGCACATGCATGCCTCCGCTGTTTGCGGCGCTACGCTTCCCACATGCACTACCCGTAACTGAACTGGGCTAGCCACCTGTTGTTCATGAGCGCTGCTCCACCAGTATTGTCCATGGCATATGACTACTTAGTTAGCTGGGGGTGTGGGTGCAGTTCTAGAGTAGTACAGTAGTAGCCTTCCTTGTTGGGTAAAGGTGGAGGAGGCGGAAGCTCGGAAATATGTATGTTTTGTGTTCCGAGTCGGCTCAACCATCTGTCTGCCGCCGCCGGCAAAGGGGCTCCGTCGTATTGAACGCAACGTTCTTGGAAATTTCGCGTGCTCAAGACCGAAAAAATCACGCTCCAGTCTTCCCAAGCAGTTTTTTTTTTTGTTTTTCTTAATATGACACAACGAATCCATCTCTATCGTGGAATAAGAGTCTGAGACAGCAAATACAATTCCGGTCTTGGTTTTTAACTTGCTTCCAACTTCCAAGACCAAGACCTGAGACCAGTCCCCAAACACACTATTAGCGACTGACACGAGTTTAATGTGAAGACAACAACAACAACAACAACAACAACAACAACAAGGTTGCCAGTTTATGTTCAAGCTGTTTAGAGAAAGAAGCAAGCTGATCTGGGTGCGCACTGGGTATGAAAGCCATGAGCAGAGAACGCCGGAAGGCTGCATCTGGTCCAAGTGCAACCCCAGTCGGTGATGCCGTGTGCAACGGTCTTGTCTTTTCTGCAACTCGGATGTGACGGAATCGATTATTGGAATTATTTCCAATGGATACACCCACTCACAATAGTTGGACCCGGCAACCAACCTGGCTAGTGAGTAGTCCACGCGTTCGTATTCTCCGCCCTGGGCGACCGTACCCTGCTCTCTCTCTCTCTCTCTCTCTCTCTCTCTCTCTCTCCGTCTCTCTCTCCGGTGTACGAATGTGGAATGTGGAAACAGGCTCGGCCTGCCAAACGAACTGCCTATAACTCCCTGTCTCCCTGTTCGTCCGCGGTCAACCGCGCACCGCGCGGTTCGAACATAGGTTCGAATGCCACAACCCCAGTGCATGCAAACGCCGCACGGCCGAAAGTGAACACCCGTCCCATCGAGCGGCCCCCCGCGACGCAACAACAACAACGTGCGTGTTTCCTGTTTCTCGAAAGGACATCTCATTGTGTAGATCCATGGCGAGCGTTGCGGCCCTCGCTTTCTGTTCCGCTGCCGCTCCGTCCCATGTGAGCTGCCTGGGAGCCACTGGTGCGTTGGGCACCAGCCACTGGGCGGCAGCTTTCCCAACCAACAGCAGGGCAACAGCGTTCCCGACCGGCAGCAAAAGCAGCCTGCGGCCGATGGAATACGTCAACGTCAAGCACGGCGGCCGGAGCAGACGAAGACCGCCGCTGTCGTTGACCCGGGCCGGGCCGTGGTCGTCGCCGCCGCCATTGCCTGCGAGCGCGTTGCGTGACACTGCTGCTCCGCGGGAGAGACATCGCGAGGAGCAGCTTCAGCAACAACAACCGCTACCTTCCTCCAGGCTGCTCGCGGCTGCGCGTACGTTGTTGCGCCGCGTCCGTGAAGCCAGAGTACCGCCACCACGAACACCAAGGCCAGCCGCCGCGGCGGTGGCGGTGGCGCGGGCGGGAGCAGAGCGGCCACCCGCTCAACCTAGACACGCGGGGCTTGTGCTGGTGCCGTGGCTGTGGCGGCCCTTCCAGCAGCCAGTCGTCGCAAAGTCCGCCGGAGGTGCGGCGGCGGGGCCGGTTTTGGAAGTTGGGGCGAGGACAATGTCGGCGACGACTCGCGCAACAAAGCCGGCCCTCTCCTTTGTCCAGGTTTGCACGCATGCCCCCCTGAAGATCTTTGACTCGTTGCCTCGTTGCACGTAGCTTTTGCTTCGGTTGCATGCGTAACAATTGTTTTTGGTATATGCATATGCGTACCGGCGATGACTTTTGATGCTGTACATGGCAGTTGAGCGACGGCGAACCATCGATTCAGGCACTTGCTGCTTTCTGCTTACTCGTCTTCATGAATGCTGCCACTGATGCATCACACGCGGGCGAACGACCCTTGTACTTACCCCAGCGGGGAACTTGGGTATTACCCTTGCTGGTGGGAGTATAGACTTTGTGATTTCTCTCACAGACAAATACACACACATACACATGAGCTAGACCGCGTTTTGCGATGTGATCATCGGGGCAAGTAAGGTGTGCTCTTGATTGCACGCGCCTGTTTCTCGCTATCGCAGCTCGTTTCTCGTATGCAGTCCAGAGGTTGCATCGCAAGGTGTAGTAAAGACCAATGCCCAGAATAAATGGGACAACTGGCAAAAACACAACGAAACAATGCAGTAGTGCTCATTGTTCTGCGTTTTTTGGGCGGTGAGGGTACGGAGCAAGCTGCCGCGAGAGGGCGCTAACGGTGCGAATGAAGCACGCACACAAGCCTCACGGAGCTGCAAAAAGGAAATATTACATAACGCAAAGCTAGGCGGCTGAGAATCGCACGTGATCCCTGCTATTGTTGATGGAGATGCAGACGCCTATACGGCCATTGCATGCAACTTGATGAGCGCGTCATCTCTTATTCCCTGCCCCCCTTGCCTGTCAACAGCATCGCGCGAGACTTGCGCTACAAGACATGTCCCACCCAACGCGCTTCGCACTCGATGCGCTGCCTGCCGAGTAAGCGGGCGGACCCCCACCCAAAACCCGCGCCCAGCCTTCATAGGAACCGTAATACCCTCCGCCTTTGGAACGCAGTGTACACATAGATGACAAAGCGGAGCTCACCTCGCCCCTTCCCGCCGCGCGCCACCCGTGTGAAAACCTTCAGCTCCAAGTGCGGCGGGAGGCCATCCTGTCCGCGCTTATTCTCGTCGCGGCCCCTCTTCTGCTACGGTGGTGGGCGAGGAGGGAGGCGGAGCACCACGACACGCTGGAGTGCCGCAACGTCGTGCAGACGTACCTTATAGCGTCCAGCGGGTGGGCGTGCGCGGTGCTAGCAGCGGTAGCGGGCAAGCCAATATCTGCCGTTGTGCTTCAGGTATTTTTCTTTCTGTTGGCGGTGGAAGTGGGGGCGCGTACTCATGTTTTTCATGCCTTGGTGTGACCATGCGTCATCGAGAGGACAGGGCGTTGTTCCCACGGGACCGTGATATAGGGGGTGCAAAACTGCATAAAAATAGCCGACAAGGCGAGAAGAAGCGGCACATCGGGTCTGGTGTTCATGTGTGTTCATTGTACGTCGAGCATCGTGCGATAAAAAAAGAGCATGCGGCCATCAAGCTGTTGTGTCCGCGGTGAAGCGCCCAGCAGTACGGAGCCCTCACGGCATCCTGTGCTTGAAATTCAATCCGTGGGAGCCCTTGCCACAAGCTGATCTGAAGGCAGTTCGCACCCGCATTTTTCCGGTCCTATCTCCCGCCTCTTTGGAAGGCAGACAAGACGGCACGGCCGTTGGTAGAGGATATGAGATATTCAACGTAACTCGCACACACCCATGTGTACCTACAATCTAACATTTTTTGGCGCGATTTTTTTGTTCCACTATCTGGAAAATCATTAATGAAACACGACTGCGACGGCAACGACGCAAGGCGGCGTGGAGGGCGGCGGCGGCGCGGTCGCTCTGGACGTGGTCCGACCTGGGGAGGGGGCTGATCAGGACCCCCGGCTGGCTTCACGCCTCCGTGGCATGGTGGCGGGGGGCGGCAACCCTTCTTGCCGGCGCCGGCGCAGTGACGAGGATCCTGGTGGGTGTCGCGGAGGACGCCCCCCCCCCCCCCCTTTTTGTTGTATATTCCTACGCGTTGTGTGCATTGACCGGATGCGCGCCGTTATGGGCCCTGATATGTCGGAGAACCCTTACCCACCCCCTCTTGAGTTGTCTGGGCAGCTGCTATAGCTCCCTTTTCGTCTCTAAACTTTTTTTTGTATTTTTTCGACGAAACAGGGGCTGCTCATCGCCATGACGGGGACTTGGACAGCGACGACCGCGGCGGGCGCATTGTGTGCCCCGACCCTCGACTTTCTTCCCGCTGGGCTGGTGAGCCGACGTAGGGTACTATCTCGTACAGTAGTCTCCGTCGTCGTCGTATAGGAAGTGGTGCGCGCTTTCGGCCAGTCTATCTGGCGCCACTCCATACACGCTGCTGTGACATATCTGTTCAACGTATATCAGACTATCAGACGAGGTCACAAACACACACACACACACACACACACACACACACACACCAAAAGAGAAGACGAGGTCACACAAGGGAAACGTCATACAGGAGCTTGTTTCAGTGGTTTATTGTAGTAGCACTAGAAATTGTGTAGGAGTTGTACTAAGGAGTAGTAGGTGGGGTGGTGGTGGTACTTTGAGAGGGCAGGTTAAGTTGCACGTTTTGTCTCCGACGTGGGAGTCATTCCCTGTCGAGCGTGCTGGGTTGGGAAAAAGCGTGAGGGTGTAAGGTACTTACAGCGCACCTTTTTGCGTGGTGCACGAATAACCTCAGCGGAAACCAACGGGTGATGGGGGTATTGTATTGTTTGCCGCGGTTGGCCACAATCGAATGAAATGAAGACGGGAACGCACATGAACGCCTAGTGGTTTTTATGTTTTCATCCCCCCTTTCGGCGTGTTACGTTAAACGTCGTCGCGACAAACGAGAACAGGTGAGATGGGCATCTACGCCGGACGACAACTTCGGCCTCAGCGCCGCGCAGCTCGTGCTCGGGGTGGGCATGTACGCGTGGATAGCCTACTACGCGTGCTTCTTCCTGCCCTACCGGGTGCTGTACGAGGAGTACCAGAGCTACGAGCGCCGCACGGCACAGGTGTGGAAACCGTTATTTTTTTGTCCTTCTCCGTTGTTGCGTCCCCCGTCCCTACCTTCCTTCCTGCTTTTGGCGCTCGGAAGTCAGACGCTAGGGATGGGCGCAAGGGGAGGGGAGGGGTGGTGGTAGACGCGGGGGGGGGGAGAGTAGGCATTGGTTTTGGCACTCCGATGTTGAAAACCGACGGGGCTGGGTACACAGCTCGTCTCGCGGTTTTTGCGTTTTGTGGGGCCAGCTGGATGGAGTTGGCCTCCTATTTTTGTGTTGTGGGCTGTTCATCACCGCGATGCTCGATAGCCGGTAGTTCTCTCAGTGGTGCTTCTTGTGAATTCCTGACGGTACCAAGCACGGCCCTCTCTGCGTCACGTCGATTTTTCCAGGAAGACGCCTAAATGCGCATGCAATACCGCGCACAGTTTTTGTATTGTCGGATGTTGTTAGTCTGAGGGCGCGATTGCATGTGTCGGGGTTGTGCTGCTCAGGGCTGGCGTGATTTTTGTGTTTGTCGACCCATTTTTCACTTTCGTTTTTATGTCTGTATGTCTGTCTGTCTGCCTGTCTGTCTGTCTGTCTGTCTCTCTCTCTCTTTCTCTCTGTCTCTCTCTCGCTCTCTCTCTCTCTCTCTCTCTGTCTCTCTGTCTCTCTCCCTCTCTCCCTCTCCCTCTCTCTCTCTCTCTCTCTCCCTCTCCTATCTGGTTGCCCTCCTGTCCCACTCCGTTTTTCACTCTTTCTCTTTGCCGGAACCCCTCTTTCCACTGCACCCACTCCCTCTCGACCGTCCTACGCGTTACGAACCTGCATCCTGCTTCTGGCAATGCCGCTCGCACCCCTTGGACCGGGGGATGTCACTGCCCTCGCTGGCATGCCATCGGGTGCCGTTTTCCATGTATGTATGGTGGCGGGTATTCGGAATGGAATGGCCTGGCCCGCTTCTCCGGCGAACGGAATTCGGGCCCTTTGGCTGCCGCGGCGCGCTGTTGTGTTGTGTGGAAATATGGGATTCCGTTCTTTTCGCTGGATATGGATGGGATTGAACCGCTCGTGTGCGCGGCTGGCGGCTTTGGTACGCGTGTGTGGCTCGATGGATCGGACGGAACGGCCCTCCGTGGGATGGTGATGCGGTTCGTGGGTCGCTAAATGGAACGCCCCGCTCCGGGTGTGGAATCGCGCCTGTCTGCTTGGGGATGTGGGCGATATTGGCGGGAACTGGCCCTGGGCGGAACGGGATAATAAAACCGCGGTATTCCGGGTGCAATGTCGTCGGATCACCACCATCATCTTCGTGCGGTTCGGGTGTAATCGCCGATGACCCACCGTCGTCTTCGTGCGTGTGAAGGTCGTGAGGGACATGGGGAACGGCCCGGAGCAGGACGTGATGCTGTCCACCAAGCTGGGTCCGCAGCTTCCGAGACAGCTGCTGAGACGGCGAGTACAATTACAGCTCTCGTGTTGTGGAGTTGACATTTCACTGTGCCAATGCAGCGGTTGCACGCGTACAGCATCGTTGTCACGTGGACGGATAAATCCCCATGTCTCCTTTTTTTTTGCTTCCTACGCTCGTGTTCGGCCCTTTAAATTCACCCACCTGCTGCTGCTGCTGCTGCTGCTGCTGCTGTGCCTGTGTTCATTTGTTTGCTCTGTTTTGTCTGTTTATTGCCTGTCATGCACCGACGTTGTCCATTGATGATTGAATTGCGATGGACGTGGATGAATGGGACGCAGATCAACGCGAAGAAAAAACCGAGGATAAATACTCATTTGCATATCATGGGTATGTTTCCGTGAACCAACTCAGTGTGTCTGACCCTTTCTTGTAACACTTTTTTTTCATCACGCTCATTCGTCGAGACAGTCGAATTGGTGGTGCGTTTGTCGAATTTGTGCTCCAGTCTTGGCGAAACGGGGTGCAAGATTATTGCCGTTGCGAGGCCGCTTGTCGCCTTTCCGTAGACGTCGCCCTCCCCCCTCTGTGTACATGTTCTTCTCGAGATGGTTCCGTCCCACCTCTGTGCCGCATCGCGGCCAGCACTCCCTTCTCTGCGATAAATGGCACCGCATGGTGCCAGATACATCCCCGTCCCTACCCATGGGGTAACAGCATGACACTCTTCATCTCGATTTTTCCATGAAAAAGACAACGATGATAGTGCCAATACCGAGCCATACACTACAAGACGGAGTTATTTTGGTAGCTATTGTTCCGCGCGAGAGGGCGGTAATGAGGGTGCCAATACCAAGCCGCACATCTTTTATTGTACTGTAGACGAATTGTTTTGATCCCTGCTGCTCCACGCAAGAGGGCAGGGAAGACCTTTGCGAGGGCGCCGTCTTTGGCATTCAACTTCTTCCCCTTTCCCCCCTGACCTATTCTTGCCGTTTTGTTGTCCGGCCCATGTGAGGTTTTCGCTGTCGTTCATAATCAATCCCAGGGTACTCTTTCCCTCCACCCTGTCTTAATCTCCCTACATACTTTCACGCATGTTTCGGTGTTTTTTGCGCTATCTTGCCGCTCATATCAACGGAAGGCAGAGAACGCACTACCGAGAAGGCCCGCTCGGCAGGAAATGTTGTAGACTTTGTGGAGTGTGGTTCCCGGTGTAAGATGAATTCAAGTCCTCGTTCTCACTTGCGGTTCCCCGTACACCGACGGGGAACATGTAATGCCGCACAGGATGGCGAAGATGCCGCCAGGCGACGACCGGGATGTACTCGAGGCGGCCGGCATCGTGAGGCAGAAGGCGGGCTCACACACGGTCGTAAAGGTGAATGAAGCGAACGTCATGTTGGTGTTCTCTTTGTTGCTGCTGCCTTTGTGGTTGCTGTTGCTTGCGTTGCTGTTGCTGCTGCCGTTGGTGTTGTTGGTGTTGTTTCTGGCGACGGTGGTAGTGGTGATGATCATGTGTCGCCGATGGTAGCTATTTGAACACCTCCCTGGCCTCTAAGCACTACCTCCATAGCACCAGCACGGACTCTTGCCTCGCGGCCACGAACCCGCTATAGCAACGATACAAAGTGCTGGGAGTACTCTCGAGTGCTGTAGTGCCCAGGGTTTATGCCTAGCTGCTGCCGGTCAGACCAGTAGGCAGGCCAAGTTGTCCTTGTGCTCATTGCCCGCCCCCTTCCGCTCTGAACCGAAATTTCTGGCTAAGCCGTGTGACCACGAGATTTATTTTGTTTATATCTGTATAGAGCTGGAGTGCAGGCGCGGAATAAGGGTTCCTGGCGTTTTACACCAACAAAAACATTATTAACTAAGGAAGTTGTACGTTTATCGCAGCATATTTGGGCTTGTGATGATTTCCCGCACCTCTTTCACGATGCTCAAGGCGTGGTGCCGGCCCCAAGTAGTCCTATCTACGTCACACCGGCAGTTTCGTTCAGAGAGTGTACAGGGCGGTGTGTAGACCCAGGCTTTCCGGCAGAGTGGGTGGCACGACGGGAAACCGCGTAAAAAGCTACAGCAGCTTCTCACGTGTGCCCCCAAGTATTTCAGATATGACGACAGAAAGCAGCCAACAAGCTGCAGCAAAACGACTTTCTTACATGTGTTGCTCATGTGCTTTTGGTTATCGCTCGCTGGAAAACCCGATCGCGGGAACGGAATACAGCGAACAAGCTACAGCAATAAGCAGCTTCCCACAACGTGTGTCTCACGCACTCTTGTTTTTCACGCTCTGGAAAACCCACAACCGGGCAGGCCGCGAAGAGCGTGAAGAACAAGGACGGAAAGGTGGGCGTCAAGATGCTGGCGCTCAAGTTCGGCGACCTAAGGTACTGGGGTTCGGACCTGTTCGAGCGCTTCGAGCAGCAGGTGCGTGCGTGTAGATGCCAAGTCTCGAAACTGGTGAATGCGCCTGAGTTGTTGTATGCGTTTATTTGGGCACATATGCTATTTGTATTGTATCGCGATTCCGGGCCGTAAACTGCACCTATTTTGCACAGCCTGCACGCATCGTATTGCCGCCGATGGCGCCCCAAGCCGAACCATCACCGAGGAGGGGATGCTTGTATACTTACTCTGTCCCGTAAATATCTGGTCGGTTATGTTGGTACGAATCGTTACACCGTGCCCGGTTTGATTTTCGATTGTTTGTTGCATTGTGTGGAGTTTTTAACAGTTTGTGCTTGACCCAGATTACCGAGCAGCGAGGAAAAATGGAGTAGCCTCCAAAACTGGCCGAATTTTCGCTCTTTTTCCGAGTAAAACATGAAAACCCGGGAATACAAAATTCGGGAAAATCGGAAAACAACACGAACATCCTAAATTGACCAACGATATTGGGTATCTCTTCGCAGGAAAACTACACACGCCCCATCTAACAAGGTTTTATTGCGTAACGGCAACGCTCGATGTGAAACGTGATCGGGCAATATTGGCCCTAGAAGGACGAAAAGGTACCAAAATGGGACACATAGTTTGACCTGATATTTGTTTCGATTTTTTCTTCTTGTTCTTCTTTTTCTTCATTAGCTTCTTCGGAATTTGATGTTTCTAACGAACCCAACGGTCAACACCGTTGTACACAAACAAAATGTAGTCACCCATAACCGACGAGACTTATCGGACAGACGCGGTACCGTATTTTATGGCAAAATTGTTATGAACAGTATGTCTACGGTTATGTTCTATTTTCCGTTTTTGCTACAGTTTTGTGGCGGTTCTGCCTACTCGTCTTACGCCCGTATTCTCCTTTCCTAACGAAAACGTTATACGGTCGTGGGGTCCCGCAGTAGATTTCTCCTGCTGTGATCCTGATTTGGTTTTTCCGGGCCTCTTGCACAACTCCTGGATGTGATTGCGCAAGTGCGTGTACCGGTATCGGGGGGTGAAATGTGTTTTTTGGAGAAAAATGGAGCGAGGAGAGTTAACAGACACGGTGTCATGTTTTTCAGCGTGGTGGGTGTATTTTCGGAGTGGCGATAGCTCCGCCCAACCACCACACGGCTAGCCACCATGTTGTTGTTTGTGTTGTTGTTGTTGGACTCCCCCTACAGGAAGGAGCATGAGACGGAATGACGATAACGTTCTGCTCTATGTAGTGTATGCATATGACAACAGGCCATTTTCACACAGACGCTCTTCTGTTTTTTTTTTTTGCAGTTACACCTGTTGTACCTCCGTGCAAAAGAGAAGGATATCGGCGACGCCTCTATCGCCCTGCGTACATACCACGCCACGATCTTCGAACAGACTAGCAATTTGCCTGTTTTTTCTTTTTTTCGCCCTTCCTGTTTCCTTGTAGTTGAGGCGGGATAAGAAGACAGGGAGAAAGTCGCCGGACGCCCCGGGATCGGGGCCGAACAGAGAGAACAGGATGACCTACTCCAAGGTTGGTCTGGTTTTTCGGGCATCAACTGCCGCTCTCTTGATTCATCGCTTTGCCCGACGTCGCAACGATGACAGCATTGTTTTTTGTTGTTTGGTGGTTGCCGACGAATGTTGTTCGTTTTCTGTTGTTGTAGCGATCGCCTACGCCGTCGTTACTGATGTTGGTTTTGGTGTGTTTGTATGTTGTTGTTGTTGGTTACGATAGCGTAGTAGTGTAGTGATATGTCGTCGCCGTCGGTGGGGTGCTGTTGGCGCAGAACGTGTGGCTTACGCCCATGCCGATGTTGCCTGAGTGATCAGCACGGGGAATGCCTTCTTTTACAGTTGTCGCCTCACGTGGAGGCTGGACCCGGTCGCCGATCTCCTTCACGGCCCTTTCTGTCGAGGGGTCCCCGCGGACTAGAAGGCGTGCTCGATTTTTTTTGGCCTGAAGTCTTTTTTCGAGAGATCAGCCCCTGAGCGCGGACGACGCTAGTTGAAGAACCACACACACTGCCAAGCGAGCTAAACGACTGAAAAATGTGATTGTGTTTTTGGTTCTCCCGCTAAAAAGGCTGGCGTTTTTGTTTTTGGTCAGCCGTTTGGGGCGGTCGGCGCCAGTTCAAGAACCCCCAACACACACGGGGCACGCACCGCACGCGCTCATTCAATAGAAACACAGGCAACACGCACTTGCTCTTCATTGCTGTTGAATACATGTTTTGTTTGGGAAGATTCGGCGAGAGGTTAAGGTGGAGCTTGGCAAGACCGACGCGGAGATGAACAGCGACCCCTCGCTGTCGATGTCCAACCTCATGACCTTCGACCCTGATGCGGAAGACGGGGACCCTCCCGAGCTAGTCAAGCAGGAGGTGGGAAGACATTCTTGTTTGACCTCCCCATTATTTCTTTTCTTTTCTTTTCTTTCTTCTTTGTTTTCTTGGGGGCCTTGTTGAGAGTTTTCTCAACACCAGCAGAAGCAGGTCACTATTGTACCTTTACGGAGGCTCTACCGATCCCATTACGCAGGAGACGTGATGAATTATTATGTTATACGCATTTTCTGTTGGCTGATATTTGTTCTGGAAGTGAGGACAGACCGGTTTTGCTATCCAATTGTTCGACCTACTGAAGACAAGACGAAGTCGACCCTTGCGCTTGGGAGGTTCTCCTGACCTCGTCAAGTTGGAGATTGTCAATGCCAATATTCGCGTTGTTGTTCTGCAAACTTTGATTACGAAAGGGAAGCAATCCAGATGGTTACAGCCGTTTTCGGCGTCTTGAATGATCGGTTCTCTGTCTTCTTCATCGAATATGAGGTAGGGTTTGAGCTAAGCACTCACGCTTTCCTGTGTTTTTTTCGTTTTCTTTTCCTGGTAAGACCCAACGAATTATCTACATCTAAGAAAAGAGTCTAAATCCCGAATATTAGAGGAGCACCCCCGGTCATTTTTGGAGGTTTCTTCCCGCCTCGTACAGCAGAAGGTGTGTTTTTTAGAACATTACTTCTTCGCCGTTTCGTCGTCTCCCGAAACACTTCCTTCTTTGGCGTACGTGGGTCGGGCCCTACCACACACACCGCCACCACCGCCGCCAACAACAATTACCACTACCACCGGCCGCCTCTCGATCACACCACAACAACGATGCCCCGACAACAGCGACCTGGTAGCATCGACGCCGGCGGGGAGAACCTTCGCATGAAGAGCGGCCACGAGAAGGTGGTCACGACGGACTCGACGCCGGCCGACATGGCGAGAGCGGCGGGCGTGCCGCCCGCCGCCGCCGCCCCCGCCGCCCCGGAGGTGGTACGCAGCACCGACAAGGTTTCGTACAAGATGTGAGGAGAAAAAAGAAAGAGGGCGTTCTTTTTTGTGTCGGGGTAGTCTTCGGGGGCGTGGGGTCTGCTCTTCTAAAGCGCTTTTGTACCTGGTGTTTTGTATTTGTGCGTCAGGAGGTCGTGAGGACGTGCTTAAATTTTTTTTTGAAGGTATAACGTCCGGAGATCATGGTGCTGGGAAGTATGGTGTCTCTAGGTGATAACGTTAATGTTGCATTTGAGGATGCGCTTGCACAAACTACGCTTCCCGTCCGGCGGTTCCTGCTGGTCTTGTCCGTTGTTGCCTCTTTCCATCGGCCGACCCTTGCCGCCATGCGTTAACCTAAACAGCGGCGATAGCGCGGGAAAAGCTTTGGAAGACTCCATCCGATCAATGTCGTCGTCATCGCCGCCTGGGCGGGGGGCGCCTGAGAAGATGACACCGGCCACCGCGACGCCTGGTTTCGCAGTCTCCGAAAAGCAACAACGTCAAGTCTCGACGGGGAAGCAGGCTGACGTTGTCGCCGTCGGTGTTGATTCGCCGCCGAAGGGGTCGAAGAGCGGTTCAGGTACCGGTTCGGGCTCGGACGAAGACTCGGGCAAGGCCAGAGGCGAGGAGCAGGTTTCCCGACGCACCGGCGCCATCAGCGATAAGTGGTGAGGGGGTTGTTATTGTTGTTGTTGTTGTTGTTGTGGTCGTTCATCGTTGCTGTTCCTTCTGGTTTTGTCGGTACGTTGGGCGAGGCGGGGACTTGTTGAATTGACCGCGAGGAATCCCTTTTTCTGTCTTTCTTTATGACGGTACTGTTCAGGTCAAGCGGTCGTGTGTGACCGTTTTTGTTGTTCCGGCGGTAGCCAGTAGGATGCAAGAATTTTGATACGAAGTACGCAAAGATCAACAATATACCCTACAATTGCCCCAGAGGCGATTATGATTTCTACTCCGAAGGAGTGGGAGGCCACCCGGGTTTCGGGAGGTCTGCTTGCCCATGACAACATAACAACTTGACGAGCTTCCCTCCTCTCTCTCTCTCTCTACAAGACAGACATCCACTGCAGTTTGTGCTTCCTTCCTCTGAGCTCTGTACGCCTCTTTCTCCCCCTGGGTTCCTCTTCGTGCGCTACTCTTCAATACGCAGCGATGATATCGCAAGTTTGGCGATGGAGTTTTCGATGCGATCAGGCGGCTCGTCGGCGAAAAAGAATGCCACCGACACTTCGGCGCCGCCGCCGCCGTCGCCGCGGGGGCCGCCGCCGCCCACAGCGCGCGACCTCTCGACGGTCTCTCACATGCAGAGCTTCGTTCTTGCTCACGAGCTGTTCTTGGAGTACTCGGTGATCGTTTCGGACTGTTTCCCCACCCTCACGTAGCGCTGTGCTGCGGGCATTTATGATTCCCTTGTGCTGCCTGCCCCTCGGGAGCCCGCGAGTTGGTATCTACCATATCTTTTCCGCACGAGCCACACGTCGGGGAGGCGTTGCCGGAAGGGGGTTAACGATGCGCCTTGACCGGTATCTGTGCTTGAGTTCCGCTCTTTTGTCGTGAGTGAAGATATTCTACTGGTGGTCTCTTGCGTACGATGGCATATTCCCCTTCAAACTAGTGGGGGAACGAGTGGAGGAGGGATCTGGTTGACAACAGGCCGGGCATCGAGGACGCCTCGGCGTTTTCCGCGGGTTGGACCATTCGGAAGAGATCAGGCAGGGTTGTACAGGGCGGGAACGTAAGTTGTTGAAATCATTCTCCTTGGCGTGGTTTAGTTTTTCATGTCAACGTACGAAAAGGTTTTGTTTATTTTTTTCGCAGCGTATCACCTGAAACAGCAGGGCCAACCATGAGGTTGCGGAACCTCGCATCCTTGCACACTCAAAAGTACACCGTTGCGAATTGCTGTGCATACAAGTCTACACCGACTTCAGCCCCACGTCATATATTTACATGTATCGAAAAGAAGTTACTTTGATCACTCGGATGGCGCTCTCCTTCTCCCAACTGCAAAACGGAGGACTGGATCACCAAAATCCGGAAAGTACGCGTACAACGTTAGTCTAGCTGCGGTACAGCTTGGCAAGCTGTTTCCTGGATACTCCACGAGCTCCCCGTACACGTGCTTGGCGTGACGCGTCTCATCTGAACATATTTTACCGTAGTTGTGCGTGTTATGGCACCCATCGTTGATTTCGCACCCATCGGTGTTATGGCACCGGGGTGCGCAAAAATATCGAGAGCGGCATGATTTAATTGCATTTCCGCACCGGTATCGGTGTTATCGCATCCGGTGCGATATCAACGATACAAAACCTGCTTAGGACGTAAGATTGCGTGCTTCCGCAAGGTGTCTCTACCCTCCGGCCACGTGTGGCACTGACCAAGTATTTTATCTATGCATCGCCTGGTTCATGAATTCAATTATTCTCTCGGTGTACCGGCACACGAGCGGACACCTTCTTTCTTGGAACTGGGATCAGCGGCTGTGTTCGTACCCGTGGTGTGCTGTAGAGCAGCGTTGGGCCATCGCGATTGTTTTACCATGGCATCACAGCAGTAGGAATATCGTGCATTGATGACTGTCTTTTCGGTGCATCATCATCATCATCATCACCATCTACCTGTCGCTGATCTGTTCACCCGCAGATGATGCGTGTGGCATCGAACGCTGTAGGATAAGCAACGAAATAAAAACGCCTCTGAAACGCCCGATGGGAACGAGAGACCAATCCACGAAAAAACGAAAAACCCGTAGAGCACCGGCACGTTGCCCGAGGCAAGCTGCGATACCAATCACCGACACCGAGTGCCCCGAGTGGTTCTGGGACACTCACTGCGCCGGAGATACCTCGCGGTTTTATCGCGTGAGAGGTGTGTTGTAGGACGTATAGGGGAACGATACCCCAGAAAATACATGATGCACGGCCAATCTTGAGGAGCGGCCAAAATTCGATACTTTTGTCGAACGGGGCGCCACCAAAACAGCAGATGGAAAACGGGGGGAAATAAAAGTAACTACAGGAATACGGCACGGGGAGAGCGAAGATTGGCACTGTTGTCGAGCGGCCAAGGGCCGAAAGGAACGGCAGTCAGCAAAAACAAGCACGTATCACACCTAGCTTGGCGAGCGACCAACATTCGAAGTATCTGTTGCAAGGATGTGGAGCAACTATAGGGCAGGGGGGAACATAAACCTGCGCTGACGGGACCATGAAAACCTGCCTAACCTCTGTACAAGCCGTGGAAAAACGGCAATCAAACGCGTTGAGCGGGCCTCGGCACCGACGGAAACCAAACTTTGTCGGATGGGGTCGACAAAAACAGTCGGTGAAGGAGTCAACAGAACACACCATGCGGGGAAGTCGACATGGACGAAACACAAGTTCGACGCTCTTGTTGGATGGGGCTGGGTTGACGAAGAAGTCTAGGAAGCGATCAAAACAATATCAGGCCGCTCTGCCGGAGCGACAGCAAGCCAAAGGTCGTGCAATGGCATTCGGCGTGAGCGCCCAGCTCGTGGTGAAAATCAGAGGCGGCCCGCACTTAAGAATATGGTAGTTAAGAATATGAGCCTAAGAAAATCCAATTTTAAGAACTTGTCCATATGAACACGTGCTCAGATCGGACGTGCTGTTAAGAAATAAGAACTTGGCAAATAAGAACTCGTGCTCGGATTGGGCCAGCCAACAAGAAGCGAGCCTCGCCCCATATAAGAGGTTCTTAAGTGCAAGCCGCCTCTGTAGGAGCCGATCATGAATTGTGGCGGCAATTCCAAAACATAGAAATGCGACGCAACGGTCCACTAGAAGAAGAACGAGGGGGCGGGCGGCACAGTCGAGGGGGCCAGAAGCACAATGTGGGCAAGAAAAACGCCGGAAAAGGCCCTTATTGAGAAGGTGCGCGAGGGGCCATCTTCAAAACATCATCACGAGCCCGGCGTCCGTAAAATAATTGCTGGATGTGATTGGCCAGCTCAGAGCGGGCATGCACCGTGAAGAACGCGTCACAACACATAGAAAAACGGCAGAAGTGGCCAAGAGAGGACGCGATCAATACAAAACAACATATCAAAAGGTAATCCAAGAACCAAAACTACGGACGGCATAGCCGCGGAAGTCACCACGAGCCACATACTGCGCCGACGGCGGAGACGGCGATTTCCACCAGTTCTGGGTCGTCGAGGAAGCGAACCACGTCGTGATGAGGCGGAGATCTTGCCCAGCCACCGAGGGCATATTGAGTTTTGTCCCAGAAGAGTATGTTCGGATTGGGAAGCACGGAGCTGGCGGACCGGCGGGGCCACAGCTTTCCAGGCGCGGATGTTTCGTGTCCCTCTTGTGGGAAAGGTCGCGTTCAGCGGCACTGATACGCATGCCGAGGTAGAGTCGGATTTCTTGGAGGTGATGGTTGGCTTTTCCTGCCCAGTGGGACAGAATACGTCGGCGGGAGTGTTGGAAGTCCACTTCCCGCTCCCAGCAAGGGTGGCGGAGGCCTTTCCAACGTGTTTTGTACGACGGCGACAATGCCGCCTGGGCCTCGTACAGGTTGGTGCCCAACCTGCTTGTCCACCGTCAGACGCTCGACTGGCGTGGAGACACCGTCCGCGGTAACATGGTATCCACTGGGATCTGGTCGTGTAGTTGTTCAGTAGTGAGACCGGCTGCCAAGAACTCTGGCACGTCTTTTTTGCGGGTTTGCTCAAGGTTTGCAACGAGCGACAGATACACGGCGAAAATTTTGAAACGTTCGGTCCAGTTTATGGACAACTTAGTTTTGAGGACCTTGGGGTCTTCGCCAGCTTTGATACCTTGGCGAATCGCAGCTGCCGAGTTGTACACCCACACCAACGTGCCGACCGCGTACACCGGCAGATTGTGTGGAGCATCGGTATTCGTGGAATTCCCGCGTTGTAAGCCGGAACCCATCCGGCCCATATGACCGGTGCTGGCGATCAGCAGCGAGATCGCAGTATTCGAGGTGATCACGGTCGAGGCTCTGGTGACAACGGGCCTAGGTGTCGTAAGAAACGGTGTGCGGGAACCGCGGGAGACGACCCATGTGACTTTCGTCCGGAGCCAACCCAGTGGCAGTGCTCACGGAATTATTGCGACGCGAGGAAGGTATCCCAATCGTCCTGTCGATCGTTGACAACCGTTGCAAGCATCGAAGTGCGGTTGACGCTCAACCCCGCCCTCCTCGTTAGGGAGGTAGGCGCTGGCAATATTCCGAAGTTTGAGAAGCTTGAGGATACTGTAGCCATCGAAAGCTTTTCACGTAGCTGTGGTCCACTGTCAGAGAGAAGGCTGAGGGTGCATACTAGCGCAGGGATGCATTTTTTGACGAGCACATCATCAGCGGTACCTTCTCCGTACAATCGACGGACGTCCCAGGGTACATGTTCGCTTGTCGGCTGAAACGATCCGTGAAAAGGAAGATGCACGGATCACCTCTTGGTGTCGGAAATAACTAATTTCACACAACTTTGGCTCCTACGAGTTTGCGGCGGTGGTATCACACCACCTGGTTATCACACCCCATTCATGGTTCTCGCTACCTGCGCTTATCACCCGGGTTACACATAATAGCACACCCCCCACAGAGTAACACCTGGCGATATGTTTTTTTAATCGCCAAAATGTACCAAAAATGATCCCGAGTTGTGAAGGTTTTTTATCTTGTGTAGGTTTGTTGTCTTGTGTCATATACGGCATGCTCTACCGACCCACTGATGGAACTTCTCACATAACGTGCGAGAAGCCCCGAGGTGGCAAAGAGCGTCGGCATGGCATGCTTGCATGACCCATGGTCGCATAAGCATCGGGACGCAGACGCGCGTGTGCTCGTGATTGAGGAGGCGCGGAGGGCGACCACCAGGCCGTCCCGATGTAGACGACGTGGGTTTCGTCAGCCGGCGCACAAGGTGTGCGTTGCCATCGTCATCGCAAATGACAACGTGATTTCTGCGAAAGGGCGTAGATGTCCTCACAGGATGGGCGTGTTGCCGAGGTGGATTTGTCGAGGACATCAAGCACAATATCTTGGGGAAGAGTCCTTGGACCCCCTACTCTCCACGAATCTCTAGCATACCACACACGTGCAAGGGAAGTCCTCCAGAAAATTAATTCCTCCCCCCACCAACCACCATCTCCGTGGATGTATGTGCAGTATTTCTCCGATAAACTATGCTGCGAATATATCGAATACCCCCCCTGCTCGTATTCATGGTTATGCAGCGGCAGCATGTCAACGTCGCCCTTTTCCGTACCATTTCTTCCGAAAACAACAAAAAAATAATCGCCGAAAACCAAAACAAAGACAATACTAGGTCCCTCAAAACAAGCGAAACCTCCCAAAACACAATAGACAACGAAGATTCCAGCCAGCCATCTCTCTCTCTCTCTCTCTCTCTCTCTCTCTCTCTCTCTCTCTCTCTCTCTCTCTCTCTCTCTCTCTCTCTCTCTCTCTCTCTCTCTCTCTCTCTCTCTCTCTATCCATCTATCCATCTTTCTTTGTGTCCTCCTTATCTCCCTCCGTCCATGCCCAACACGACTCCAGTAGCGATAACTCTTCTTTCAATGCACACATTCATCACAATATCTCTGTGCAACGTGAAAGACTCCTTGCCTTTCGCCTTTGTCAAGAAATCGTCATCATGACTTCCCACGCAACGTGAGTAGTCGAAATCTCGTTCCTCTCTGCCAGCCCCTGCTTCCGTTGTCGAAAGCGTACCTCACTTTTGCATCCCAGAAAACCATGTCACTCACCCACCCCCACACATCACTAGGCATCCTGTGAACCCACCCCCACACATCACTAGGCATCCTGTGACCTCCTGCCTGCCATCTTCCTTGCGTAGTCGGCATCCATAAACACTTCCATGCTCATGCCAGTCACTACTCCCCTCTGCAATCCAATCGACATCCACCTCGTCCTACGCTACGTGCCGTCATGAGTGGGCAACATCAAAGAAGTATATGGTACACCGTGTGTTCCTCCTCTCCACGCAGCTCTTAGGGTTCTGCTGCTTCACGACCACACAAGAACATATTTGTAGTCCTTCGGGTCCACGCGACGTTCCTTGACTTGACAAATACAAATTCTTGCGATCTACGAAAGAGGGGAGAAAACTGAAGCAGCACCAAGCGTCAGTAAGACGGAAAATTCTCGATCACAGAACCCCCCCCCAGCAAATGAATTTAACACACGTTCTCGAAGGTGGTACAAATACACCTGCGTGCTTTTTTGTTGGCCGTAGACATTCTCTGACAGCAGTTACATTGGAGACTACTACACACGCCCCACCTTCAGAGCTCCCTTGTTCTTCAGGCTTAAGGCAACAACACGGTATTCCTATGTAGGCCAGCGAAGATTACATTAACAACGCATGTTTTACCAATTCCGAAATTTATTTCCGGGCATGATGCGACCGACGTACAGGAACTGATTGCCGTGTTGAGAGGATCGTCGTGGCGAGCTCCTCGTGAGCAGATGATCCGTCATGTCTGCTCGATCACACTACGCTCCTTCGAGTTGTATTTTCCACCGAGAAGAGTTGTTCTTGAATCTGCTTGAACTGCTCTGTTTCTCTAAACTTGTGATAGAGATTTTCCCTTAGCATGTTGCTGACTTGTTTCGTCGCTTTTTCCAGAAGGTGCTCTTTGTCATCCTGGAACCCGATGAAGCAGTAGAACGCACCACGCGACGGGCAACGTCACAAGAAAACGGGCATTGCATTCCGAGCCAGGCGTGTTTCCTACCCAGGCGTTCGTTTTCGTTGCTGCTGGGTACACCTAGCTGCAGAGAGCACGACCCCCATCCTTCAGTTCCTATTGTCGAGAGAAAAAATCTGGTAAGTATTCTATTCCCCACTCCGAATCGATTGTATGAGGCAGGCCGTATTAGATAATCAACGAAGGGAACCAAACTGGCTGCAAGAATACTGGACTCACCAGATTGAGGCGTTCGAAGCTCGCACGGTCCACCTCCCTGAGAATCTCGTTTCTGATTTTGCTCTCGATGTTCACTTCGAACGGAGAACCCTCCCGGATGTATTTGTCTACTATGGCGGCGAACTGCTCGAAATTGGGGTTGTGCTCGCACTCGTTGACAGCCACTGCTGCAGACTCAGGGTCCTTGCCAGCAGTAGAAAATTTGGACACGGCATGAAGAGCAGAGTTGAACTCGTCCGCGTCCACCAGAAACATGAGCGACTGAGCATCGTGCAATGACCAGCGAATGCCAACAAACGTTGCGGCAGAGGGGAAAAATCTATCTTGGGGACATTGAGTGATTCCTAGGGATTGACATGTACTTGACCGACGTAGGTGGCTAGCCACACCCAGTTTCGTCCTTGGGGGCGTGATGGGCAGATTATTCCCTACAGAAAAATGAGCATGAAGAGAACGCCGATGCAAGCTGTTTGTCACGCGGTTCACGGCATCTAGGCAAGATACTCACCTCGCTGCACAAGGCGTTGCGGCAGTACTCTTCAAACGCCTGAGAATGGCAGAGACGCATTCGGTTGAGGCATGGGCGGATGGTGATGGACTTTGAGCGCACGGCCAAAGCAAGGGGATAATCGACCACGATCACAATACGATTTCGCAGGGGACGGGGCAAATCGGGCTTGCGACAGTTTCGTTGTTGTTTGGCAATAAGTTCGGTGCGTATGTCTTGGCGGATCGCTGGCAGACAGCGGCACTTGCAAACCATTGTCGGTAGGTTGCTGCGCACCGCACAAGCAGCGTCATGTACACGATAGGGTCCTTTGCAGCTCGGTGAGCCTTGGAAAGGTAGATACGAAAGGCATTTCTACCGGCTGACCCTAGGTATTTTGCTTAGATGGTGATGAGGAGGATTGCACGCAAGGGGAGGGTGCGTGCTTGTGCCGCATCTCGAAACCAGAAGCTCAAGCAACAAATGGCGGTGTTACGTGACCTTCGATGTCCGTCTTCACCACAGTACGGAGTCTTTGGGAACCAATCAAAGTCCTAACTGGCCGGGCACGGAAGCAGACCATCACAGTTTCGGCTACGTGCTTCGCATCGCTGCAGATGCAGTTGCTGCTGCTTCCGCTAGAACTTATCCGATGTTGACTCGAACCATTGGATACTCTTTTAACTCTACTGCGGCACTGCCAGGAATAATTTGCTACGACCAACTGCTGTGTCGTCCTCCGGCTAAGCTACAAGGGGATATCAGTGCTACATAGGTCTCAGTTTTAATATGCTCAGAAGGAAATCTCCTGCAGCACAAACCCGGGCTTCGTTCAGACAATAGACGCGAAGGCGCAGTCGAACACAAGTGGTAAAACATACCTGGAATAATGGTGGGAATTGGATGATAAGATCCAGCACGGTCCCACCCGCAGAGCTGGCGGACTGGGACCGCAAGGTGTAACTGGCCTCGACTGCAACTTTGCTTCTCTCGTGCTTCGTCCACGGGATGTACGGGAAGAGTGACGAGATGAAACTCATATTTTCCGTTGCCGACCCCCTCGATAATGCAGCCCTCACAGGTTGGATGTTGCTGGTGTGCACGAGCGAGACAAGGTTCATTGGTCATCGCCACGGCATGAGTAGTGGATGAAGAGTCGAACCTTGTACAGCAGTGGTCAATGTGTTGCCTTCTACAGGGCTTAGCCGTAACTCGTCGCACGGCAAGCTGGGCAAAGGGTACCTAGACAAACGAAAGTCGCCCACACGCAAGTCTAAACTATAAATACTGCAGGATCAGAGGCGGCTCGGATCCGACACAAAGCATTCGTGGTCGTTGGGCTCCCGAGCAAGAAGCTCTTGGGCCACTCTAGTGCAACATCGCGACTCACGTAAACCACAAGGAAGGTTGGAACCGGACGGCCATCCACAGGACCAGGACGTACTTGTCGGACTCCGTGGCAACGGTTACAGTCGCCATCACTTCGCAAAGATTATTGACGAGACAGAGGCAGCGAGGAAAACCGATGAAATAATGCATTCTTGCAATTCTTGGTGTTATGTAGCAGGGAAGACATCAAGAAGGCACTAGCCCAAACAGGGTGACAAAGGAGGTCACGTCAGACAGGAACGACACACCACAGTAAGATGAGAAAAAAGTAGGAGGGGGAGATTAGATCATCGAACGTGATACATGAGACGAACGCCGAATGCGACCCGCACCGTAGCGCAATTGACGTTCAACCAACAGTTCAAAAGATGGAAACGTCCACGCTGTATGTCGTTGAACTACGCCGAAGCCAATATTCGCCAAAGAGAAGCATTGAGAAATACCCAGACTCGTTGGGTGTGACGGACAATACTCTCGTTGTGGGGAGGTTATAGTGGACGTCATTGAGCCTCACCAGTATTTGTGCATCCAGTGCCTCACCAGTATCTGTGTATACAATGACTACTTCCCACCAAACAGCTTGCGATTGTCCACCGGTAGACAGATCTTTCACCGCGTGGTGCACTCTGCGTCCAAAGGTTTGTTGCTAGCCTCTAGTGGTGATCTTCTCACAAGTGAATTTCAAAATAGGGGATGTGGTGGGAAAGGGACGGAAGGCACATCGGGAACTCACCAAGCGCTGCCATCGCGAAGACGCCCACTTTTTGAATTTCAAGTGACATGTCGAAAATATCTTTAGTCTTCCTCAGTTTGCCGAATAGCGCGAACGATGCGCCTAAAGTGAGGAGGGTGTCCGCTACGACCACCCCGAGTGTGAAGTAGGCTATCCTGTGGTGGCACAGGGCAAGGACCAACATTCGCCAGCATGAGGGAGCCGGTCGCTGAATGGTGATGGGTGACTTTGAGGGTTGAGGCTCACAAATTGTCAGCTGAAGGTGTCCTTAACAATGATGTGTCCTTGGCTGGCACCAACTCGGAATCCACGCTACGGGGCCAGGAGGTACATGTTGTCCGGTTAATCCTGGTGTCAAAAGTGCGTACATACGCGAGGTTTCATATAGTCTATCTCCACATCAACCAGAGCATGTCATATCGTGACAGCCCGGCATCCCTATGCACAACCTTGACGTTGCCCACGTTGTTCTACAGCATATAACTACTCAACCAAGAAGTAGCCCAATCGGGAATATGTTGTTTATATGTTGGTCGGATACATGTTGAGTAGCGCCCGTCAGATGTATTGCTTGCCTTTTTACCCCAACTATCCCGGTGGCAGACCAGATCACGATCTCGAGAACAGCAAGGGAAACAAGCGATGTCCGGACCATCAAGGATTCCTTGACAAGTTTCCCGAAGCGCCCGCGCATAGCAGGATTGTACATGACAAGCAGCCGGAAGCCTCTCATGACGTACACCCCGGTGTAAGTCGTGAGCAACATTGGCGCCAAGACAAGGTCAACCGCTGAGGCGTCCGGGCTAATCTTCAGGATGAAGCGGTAGATGGAGACGGTTATCATTAAAACACCGGAGCAGCCCGACAATGTAGCTAGGACAGGTGACCTGGGAAAGAGGGGACATGTTGTGCGGTTGTTGGACAAAACAGTCAATAGTAGAACGAACTACAGTAGTCAATTAGTCGGACACATAGACCTACAGTACAGCAGTGGGGCCGCATCTACACTTTTGAGTATTCTTCCAGCGACATTGTTTGCGTAATTTGGTCCTTCACCTGGCTACGTATGTATCTATAGACCACAGTCGGATTTGACAAGGGCGGTCCACCCTCTTATATCGGAGCCCCTCGTTATATTGGTGTAAGAGGGTACCCTCTTACTTGGGGGCACTCTATTGTACGGTACCCTCATACAAAGGGGGAGATCGGGAATAGCGAGAAACACAGGCACTTTGACTACAGCACAGCTCACCAGTATGCCTTGTATATGTGAAAGCATGTATGTGTGGTGGACTGTAGAGCACGTGTGGTGGGCTGAATGCCCGAATTGGCATGTCAAAAGCAAGCCGGGTGATTGTGATCGTATCGGCAACGCTTTCCGTTTTGTGTTAAGTTGTTCATGGAGTTGGAACTGTTGGAGAATAATTGCCTCTCAGCCAAGTTGACGCAGCCATTGATACTAGGAGATAAAGTACATGTTCATGCATCATTGCAAGATTTTTTTAATTCATACAGAGTCGAACAACATGCTACAATTCTTCGACACCTCTCCGACCATGAGAAATTTCATGTACACAGGCTACAAGTAAGTGTTGTATGCACCAACGAACGGTCTACCTCCTCCTGGCCCCTGGCGCACGCCATACATACACACATTGCCCACATTTAAAGAGGAGGGCTCCCTAACGTCTGTCTGCGGTGCAGGTTTTGAACCGTATGCTGAAAGGAACGAAATTCTAGCAGTTGCACAAACAGCCCCCGGCTTCTACTTGGCGCCGCGATGTGTGTGTTTCCGTGTGTGTTTTACGTTATCTTTATTGTTAGCATTGACCTCGCTAACCAGTTAACCAATGAAAACACGTCAGTCTCAGTGCCCATGAACACAGAAAGTGCTTCAAAGGCCACGACCTGGGACCCCATGAGGGGGCACCATGGGGGAGGCTAAGCTACTCTCCAGATGAAAGATAGAGACGATAGTAATAGAAGAAAACCTCTTTACCCAAGGCTGCCATTTCGCACACGTCTTCGTTTCGGAGTGCTGCCATCATCTTTGCATCATCCTCCTTGCATTTGCCACCAGTTTCAGCAAAATACCATTATTCTTTGGCAGCTCCTCTCTGGTCTATTCCTCCTGCGGCGTTTTGTTTGTGTGTGAGTGAAAGGCCGGGGGAGCCACACACCGGCGACAGTCCCTAACTTACAAGCCCTGCGATAAACCCCCTCAATTGTGGGGTGACCCCACAATAAAGGGTCCGGTCTATGTATATGGGTAACCCTACTCACTTGTAGCGGGTCGAGTCCGTGACAACCGATTTCGACCCTCTTGTAACGGAGCCAAGACTGTACCTATTCTTACTAACCAAACAACAAAATGGTAAGACTCAGGGTGGCACGTCAACGGTGCACAAACCAAATCTGCAACACAGCTGAAAGTCGCGATATCTTTTCGTCTACAACAATTACATCTATGTACCTGAGCTATGGGGTATGATCTTCTTTATGTACTTCTATATGCCAACCACCCCCGAGCCTTTGTTCCACCTGTCTGGCAACAACCAAAGCGATGTTCATCGACTGCAGCGCTGGGTCCGAAAGCTCACAACCCACCGGATGTGAGTCCCGCTGGCAGGAATTGCCGCCTTACCTTACGGCAACTTGGAATTCGTGGCGCATGCCCCACATCTGGGCAATGTGACTGAGGCAGACGAGGGAGTACATCGTTCCACCTGCCAAGACGATCGCATCGAGAGCAAAGACCATCATGATCACTGAGGGCGGCGATCGGTGTGTGTAGACGTTGTTAAGGACAGGTCAAGGCGCTCGTTCCTCGTCCCGACCAGCTGGTACCACACCGACAAACAACCGAATCGGTACAAACATGTCCCGCGAACCGGGAACCGTGCGCATACGTAACGCCAGACAGCAAAGAACACAAACCTCCAAACACCAACCGGAACAATCCTGGAGCGCGAACTGCCGTCGTAATAGGAGATTTTATTATTCCTTAATAGGAGATGCGAACATGTACCTACGTACACAACGTGTATTGCGCCGCATTTCTGACAGTCCCTTTCACCCCGCTTGACCATGCTACCATGCCAATTTCGGGCGGGCTCGTGGAGTCTCTCCCGTGGAGAAACTCGAGCTTGAACTTACTCACATGAGAGAAAAGAGTTATCTCCTTCTCTCAGTGGTCATGGCGGCAGCTACGGAGGTCTGGTTGCGCGAAGACTACGCGAGACAAGTGCACTGCTGCTTGACTTCAAAGACGTTGACGAGCAGTCTGGGAAGCGCTAAGGACTCACCACACTCGAGCTTCCCTTTTTGTCCCGTCAGCCGGCGGCACTCCGACTCGCCGGCATGTGCGAACGCATATCCTGCTGTTGGAATTGAGCATATTGTCATGTACCACCGACCGGGTAGGCGCCACACGGCTGCAAGGCCTGAAGCTTGAACTCGCTACCGCAGTAGTATAATAGTGTACCGACGGAAACGCCCCGTTTCGGAGCCAAACAGTTGCCTACATGTATCTTGCCACCAAAGGAGATGCTTTGAGATCATTGGCGTTATGAATAGCTTACGATATTCTCGATGGCAAGCGGGAGATGGTGTGCAAAACGGAGAGCGGTGTAGGGGGGGGGCGGGTAGACGAGTGACTTGACTTGGAGCGCGCCCCATCACCCCATCATCGCGTCGTGCGGGAAGGCAGGGATTAGGGTTGAACGCGAAACACAGCTCAGCGAGCGGTCGATCCTACACCAAAGTCTAGATGGGTATGTTGTATCCTGTGCCCGACGGTGGCAACAAAATTAGCTTGAGTTTGACGTTCGTTTGCGGGTCCGTACTGCTGTGCTATTGCTGCTGCTGCTGCTGCTGCTGCTGCTGTTGACGATACGGCTTCCGTGGGACCATCTTCGC